TTAGGTTTTAGAGAACAGACTGTGAGAGAGTGTTCCAGGGAAAAGTAATAAAAAAAACACGGGACTAGACAAGGACACAAGAGGCTAAGCAGGGAAGCTAAGGGAGAGGAGGAGGAGGAGAAAAGTGTGACCGCCTTCGTCAAGAGCAAAAGAAGAAGTCGAAACTATTGCATTACTTAAAAAAAAAAAAAGTTTAACCCTCTGGGGTCCAGGGTATAATTGGCCATTTTTGACTACTTTCGATGTTTCCTCTACATTTCACCTTTAAAAACTATTTGTTTGCCTTGTTTGGTATCATTCTTTTCAGCACAACCTCACGTGTCTGAATTTACAGTTTTGTTTTCATTTTGTGATACTGTATTAACACAATTCATCTAAAATCGGACAAAAAACATCAAATCCCAGTAGAATGTTTTATTTTTACTGTAACAACCACAAACATGTTTAATGAATCATATTTCATAACTTTAAATGCAAATATAAATGGTCAATTTAAAATCCTATGCACAAGTTTTGCAATCGCTCCTAAAACGTCCCCCTCTTCCTAAACAACCAAATGTCATGTTGCCATATCATTTTTGATTGGTTGACATGGTGCATTTATCCACCAACACAAACGGGCTCTTTTTTGTTTGCTCATAAGCAGAGAGTGCTTGCTGCGCTGTCCTTAGACAGCAAATGTGATGAAAATATTAAGGAAAAAACGCATATATATTGTTTATCATGACTCTGGTTTTACATGGCCTACCTGCACAATTTAAAAACTGGCACCTTGTTGCTTTGTCATCTTGAAGCAGTCATGTGATTGGCTTACCACGACTACTATATTCTTCCTCAGCCAAACAGCAGCACTCATGCGATCGTTTTGCCCCCTAGCTCCAGGTGTTGTGCCAAAAAGTGATCATCTGCCAGACAGTGATTGCCGTTTTCAGATCTTATGCCAACAGGCTGCACAGTAATTAATTCTCCACTATAGTAGGATACTTCCTAACGGGCAGTGTTGCTCAGACCTTGTCACCACCATCACTGGGCTGTTTCCAAATGCTGCTAGTGGGACTTGCATAATCCTCCCAAAATGTTCAATTCTTTGGTGGATATCCAAAAGGTTACTGTCTCATAATGTCTCTGTAGTGGTTTTGTAGTGCAGGTTTAGTACTGAATGGCATTTACAAAATGGTAAAAAAGACTGAGTGTCCAGTGAAGTACTCTACACAAACATACCTGATGCTACAATTATTGATTAAATTAGGTTAATCTTTACTGTGATGGTTCATAAACAACATATTCCCACTGAGGCTTTTATTACTGCTCTTCCTGGCTCTTGGTCCCCCTCTTTTTCTTTTTTCTTCTGCTTGTTTCCCTCGCTGTTTCTCTCATCATACATTAACATGTCTCGCAAGCAGATGGTATCTGGATGTGAACAATCTGTATATCTTTAGACCTGTAATTAAAATTTGCCTCCAGTGCTTCCGGAGCATTCCACCACTCCCAAACATAAATATACCTTGGTGACCTGCCTTTAATCTTTCATTTTTCTTTTTTATTTTTGTGATCTTTGAAGCTGTAGTACTGCATGGGTTATTGTTCACCTCAAAGCCGGCACATTAACATAACACAGGCATAAGATGAGGATTTGTGTCTCACTGACTGGTAAGTGAGACGGCAGGCTTGCTGTTTTTCTTCTGCATGCCTAATCATTACAAACCAAGCAGTGCACGAACAGAATGCAACGTGCAATGCTATTTTTAACTTTTCATTTATTATTATAATTATAACTTTCAAGGAACCAAATTACACTGTACACAAGAGTAGCAAAAATATTTTTTAAAAAAGTCTAGAGGTGAGTTTTGACAAGTTTCTTGAAGGACTCCAGTGACGGGGCATTGCGAAGCTCATATATGAGAGAGTTCTGGAGGGTGGGGGCCACCACACTGAAGGCCCAAAGGTTCTGATGTTGGTGCGAGGTACAGAAAACAGAGAAGGACCAATGCATCCGAGACTGTGTGTATGGTTTGCAGCAGGTCAGAGAGATACTGAGGTGCCAGGGCATTGAGAGATTTGTAAGTAAGAAAAATCTTGTGAGTAATGTGTGACTTGACCAGGAACCAGAGGAGATATTGGTATTAAAGTGTTACACCACAACTCAGACCATCTTCTGAGTTAGTTTCAGTGATTTAAAAATCCAAGTTCACTGCTTCTGATAAGTTTATATTGGCCCCTCTCTGATGTTCTAAAGTCTGCAATAACATGGACATCAATAATCTCTAGGTGATGCCTCCATTGTTATGGATCTATATTAGCATTTAATGGATCTGACTTTACATTGGGAACGGACAGAGATCAAGGGCTGATTGAATTTGATCAGTCATTAGCATTTGACGCTAGTTTTAAACATATCATTTGCAAAAAAAGTTTGAAAGTAAGTCAGTTCAAAGCCCAGATCTCAACAGCTGTAGATCTTGATGTTTACAGTGACATATTAGCGTTTGTTCACCTATAACTCCACAACATCCCAGTGAGCTCGTTACACAGCTGCTGGACAAATGTACCCTCTGAACAGCAGTAAACTACCACATTTGACTGTCTAACTCAGCTATGAGGCCAATGCAGTGCCAAACAGTCTGTCAAGTAAAATCACCTTTGCAAACATTTGTAAAAGAATGGGCTCAATGGATTCAAGCGTAGTGCAAGAAGTCAGTTTGCAATAATATCCCTTACTGCTGATCATTGATTATCAAGGTGTGAAGAAATTCAGCAAAGTGGAAGTGCTCCTAAGACTCACACCAGCTCACTGGAAAGTTATCCATCATTTTCAGTCACGTGACCGACTCACTGCCCTGGCAGACAAAGCAGTGCTCCACCTTTAAGCATAAACAGTAGATAGTACTGCTGGAGTAAAGTAGGGATTTTTTCACCTCTCCTTTTCACCTCATGAAGAAAAACTACAAATTTTGGGAACTGTGATCCATATTCTGCCCATCAGCTTTATTTAAATCCCTGGCGATGTCTTTCCCAGAGCTGGAGTTTAGTGACATCTACAGGTATCTTCTAGAGATTTGCTGACTTTACCTGCTGCCAGGATGAAGTTTTCACAGTATGGACAGCTCCATGTATTTTTAATCTGGATGGGTAAATAATGCCACTATGTTGGAGGTGAAGAACAAGGAATTGTTCTTCATTTATTAGTAAAGTAAAGCACTACATAGCTATCTTAAACGGGCTACCACACGTAAATTTTAGTTTTGTTGACTTGGACATTTACAGTGTCATAACAGTAAAGCTGACAGAGTATCAATCCTACAGTTTAATGAGCCGTCGCTGACAGCCAGGGTTGCTGTGGAGAAGCAATGATTGGCGTGATGAGTGTATCTGATAGGACAGCAACTATCAGGCATTTTGGTCAAGTTTAAACTTGAAGACGTTCAAAGGATGGCTGCAGAGCAAAGGACCAGAGCACTGTTTTTGTCTGCCAGGTGGGCGTGTCCCAGTAGCTTTGACGTCACCTGGAAACTCTGGCTAGAGCGGGGTTGTTGAGGGACAGTGTTGTGCTGACTGGACAACCTAACTCCAAACCTCCTCTAGCATTAACAACAGCAGAAGCATTGTGTGCTGGGAGCTTTGTGTCAGGGCTTTTCATAGCTGGACAGTTCCTGTAGGTGTAATGTGTAGAATATCCAGTGCACAGTGAGAGTAAAGAATGGTAAGAGCAACTGAAAAACCTAACAATGAGCTGAAACCTGTTAAAATGTTGTATTTAACACAGAGGATTGTTACCGTAACTGTTTCATAATAAATAAAAGTGCATTGGGTCCTGCTAAGGTAGATGAAAGCTGTTTTTTATAATGGACACTTTGACTGCTGAGATTATTAGTACGTAGGTAAGTCGTGTAATTACTCATACTAGCACTGCCAAAAAATATGATTATATGTGTGTGTGTATATATATATATGCCATATATATGGTGTAAATTCACTATTTTTGTAGGGGACTTTCACTTCGACCTGGATGTTGACGCAGTTAAGCTCTGTCATGATAAAATATGACGACCCACAGGGATCTAAATGAAATGTTCTCTTCCAAAATGAGATGTCCAACATTTGAAAAATGAGTCACCTGTGCTAACAAAGTGATTGATGGGAGAAAATTATAACAAATTACATATTTTTGTGAAGGATGACAGCAAGCAGGGAAGCCAACTTCTTCCTTAGAAATCAGAGGAGGAGAACACTTTTAATTTCAGAGAAAGAGTGATAAAATTCAAGCTTGCAGATGCCATATGAAGGCTTAATATATGCTGACTGTTCAGAGGATGTGATTGATAGAGACTGAGTGTGAGCATGGACCTCATGCCGACTTTGATCCCATTTGCTGTCAACTGGGTAGGAGGGATCAGCGTCATCTCGCCATCCTCGGCGGTGAATGTGCAGCATGTGGCAGGATCCACACACTACTCGCCTGCTGCTCTCCCTGTGTGTTAGTAAAGCATTTCACATTTTGGTTTTGGCTAATTTCAGTTTTATAACCTCTTCAATTGTCTTACAAAACTGTGGCGCAAATTCTCCCAAAGTGCTTCCTGAGTAATCATCTGAAGTGCCCTCATCAACCACACACACAGCTGCTGTCCTCCGTCTCGCACTCCTCGAGTTTTGTGTTTTCTTACTCTCACTTTGTCTCTTTAATGTTGCCCCCCTCCATTCAATTCCCCTTTTTAATAATGTATGAAGAGAAAATGCAAGCAGACCAAGAGGCATCATTTTTCAAGTGCAGTTCACTGTGTTCTGAAAAAATAAAGTGAAGTATGAATGTGTAAGTGTACCAAGTGTCTTGATTTATATTTGAATATAATCTATTTTAGTAAAGAAATCATGAAAGTGTATTATAGGACCACGCAGCAAGAAATGGGGAGGAAGAAAAATCTTTTTTTTCTGCCTCTTCTTTTTTCTTCCTTCTCTCATCCACCCACTGCAGTAACTGTCTTCCTCTTTTTCTCTTCCTCCAGGTCCGCCTTCTGTACTGCTCCCTGGAAGAGGCTGAGCTCATTTTCCGGGCAGCTTGGGCAGCGGGTCAGGCCGGGCCCAGCCATATGTGGTTTGCTGTGGGACCAGCCCTATCCGGGTTGGGTCTGGAGGGGCTTCCAAAGGCTTTGTTTGCCATCCGGCCACAGGGGTGGAGGGATGAGCCACGCAGGTACGAACCCAGGATTTAAAATATCAGGGGTTCACAGGCTGCGGGGGCTTCAAACAGGGCTTCTGCGGGTTCAATGAATCTGTGGATAAGGTTAAATGTGTTGCATTTGACTCTTAAGTGTTCTCATCCATGTCTGGCTCTGTAATACTAAAACACACAGCATACTTGCTGAAAGACAAATCTCTATGGGAATCATTGGCATGCCCTTAAACAGCCCTCATCATTAATTCATAAAGTTCAAATCTTAGCCAGTTTTAATTACTACTAATGATCTCCCGAGCCCCTCCTGTTTGTTGTCCATCTGCTATTGGCCATATAATCCATAAATATGTCATTTCCACTGCTATGTCGATGACACACAGCTCTACCTGGCATAGTTTGGCTTTGATTCATGTAAAACCAGGTCAGAACAGTACAAGATTTGAAGAGTTGACACAAACTAATCTGTTATGTGAAGTGCTAACACAAAGCCTGATTAAAGTCTTCTTTCACCCTCCATGGTGAAAGAAAAATTGACAAGACACTGAAGCCACATAAGGATGTGTCATATTTGTTGACAATGCTACTAGCTCAACCTAGTACCTGATTTGCATACTGAGATTTGATCAGATACTCCACTGAATCAAAGTAATTAGTATGCCTCTTATTACCAATGCCTCATGATTACATGACATTATCCAGACAACCCTTTTTAGAAACAGAATGAAAGTGAACACCAGATGCAGTGAGATCTGTCATATCCACTACACACCGGACACCAGACATCCATGCACTTTGTTTTGTGGGCTTGATCTGATTGGTCAGTCACAGTCTTTGAAGAAAGGAAAAAGAAAAATACATTTTATTATGTCTGGAAAATTAAAGATGGATAGTAATATTTTAAGGCTTTTACAGAGACCTGAATTTTACCTAACTTCAGTCATAGAGTCATGTTTACTCTTTTCTGTTTATTAGAGATCTAAAATACATCTAAATGGTAAACAACCACTGCAACTAAAATTGAATTATATCTGGTTTGAAAGTGAAATTTAATAGATGTTTCAATTCTGTGTGAAATTGTTGTGATCTGCTGCACAACACTGACTCCAGATACACAGATTAATATTAAGCCTCAGTTGAAACCTATTGTCCCTATCCTGTTGGGGCTGTCCGTTAGTTGATGGAGTAGTGCTGGTTTACAACAAGAATAATCAAGAGGAGTGTTGACGAGGATGAAATGTCCTTTCAAACAAATTTTGATTAAAAAAAAAAACAGCCTTTTTTTCCATACAGCTTTCCAATGACCTGAAAAGATGTCTTGTTTTTTTAATCTCAACATGTGGATATCCACCTGGATCTATGTTTTATATTCGCAGTAAAACTTTAACATTTATGGTCTGCTCAGTTTGATGCTTTTACGTGTTGCAGTGGAACAAGTGCAAAGCTTCACTCACGTAAAAAATTCTAGGTTTTTTTCTGTTTTATAACACATCCCATTCTAAGAGCATTCATGTCTATACTCTGTGAAAAACCTTTATTTTTGGTGTAATATGATTTTCCAAGCAGCTCATATGTGAAAATCCCCAAATCAGTAAAACCTTGAGTAAAATGACAAAATTGCTCAAATGTTAAAGCACATCAATTAGTGCTGCTACTGTACTGCTGATCCTTGTTAAAATGTTACATTTCTTTAATTAGGAATCTGTAGCTAAAGACTTTTACCTCATTTTGTGATCCTATATAAAGTATATGTTATGTTTCAGCAGACTGCTTCTAGTGCTGAAACTTTATGCATTATCAATTTTGTAGTTTCTTTTCTCTCTGCTGAATTGAGAATTCATTGAGTTTTTCTGTATGAAGCCTTGAAGATGGAGAAACCTTATGATTAAAAAATACATGAGAAGATAAATATTCTTCTCTTCATCCCTGAAAAGCACACTTTTTGCACATGAGTACACAGTTTAATTTTACAACCACCTGCATGTTCATCAATCAAAAAAAATCAATCAAAATTTATTTATATAGCACATTTTTTAGACCGAGGTACACCAAAGTGCTTTCCAGTAAAATCGCAGTACAAATAAAATCACAATAAAATATAAATTACAAATATATAAAATATAAGATAATTACATAATCTAAATACAGAGCCAGATGTAAATTACCCTAATTCGCCTTAAATGCCAGATCAAACAAATACGTTTTAAACGTGATTTAAAAGACTGAATGGAATCTGACGCGTGAATATGAAGAGGGAGAGTATTCCATAGCCTGGGTGCAGCAACGGCAAAGGCACGGTCTCCTCTGGTCTTCAGCCGAGACCTAGGTTGCACCAAGAGCAGGTGGCCCGATGATCTTAGTGCTCTCTGAGGGCTGTACAGACAGAGGAGATCAGCTAAGTAGTCAGGTGCCATATTGTTTAAAATTTTATAAGTAAACAATAGAATTTTAAAATCAATTCGATATTTGATAAGAAGCCAGTGTAAATTTTTCAGAACAGGGGTGATAGAGTCAAACTTTCTAGTGCCGGTCAAGAGACGTGCTGCGGCATTCTGGACCAGCTGCAGACGCTGCAGAAGAGAGATTGTAGACCCAAGTAGAGTGAGTTACAATAGTCCAGTCTTGACATAATGAAAGCATGAATGAGTTTTTCCATATCTTTGTGTGGTATGTAGGGTTTAGCCTTAGAGATTAGGCGTAGTTGATGAAAGCTAGTTTTTACCACAGTAGAGACCTGTTTGTCAAGTTTGAAGGAACTATCCATGAAAACTCCAAGATTCCTGGCAGTATCAGTAAGGTAGTTAGCAACAGGCCCCAATGTGTCAGTCAATTGTCCCAGAGGCATATTTCGGTCAAAAACAATAATTTCTGTCTTCTTTCCATTTAAAGTAAGAAAGTTACGTGATAACCAGTCCTTGACATCACTCAGACAGTCAAACAGAGGATGTGGTGAGGATAAAGCATCCCCAGTCAGGTGAAGGTAGATTTGAATATCATCAGCATAACAGTGAAAAGAGACATTGTGTTTTTCAAAAATGATTATGATTCATGATGCACTCTCTGTAAGAATGACCTGATCTCTTCACTGGGATCATAACATTTACATCCAATCTAATCGAAATAAATTGACCGAGTGTATCCAGGTGAAAGATACAATTCTCTATTGATTTTTCTTTATTACCTTTAAACTCATGTCTGCCGCACCTCATAATGTGAAATTGTGTTGGTGGTTCTAACTCTTTAATATAGTTCCAATTATGCAAATAGGAAATTTAGTTGCAACAATAAATCCAAAACAAGGTCTAAAGGAGATTTCCGCTGGAGATAACAAAAACACTTTCTACACAACAACATGGAGCGGAAACATGCCTTTCAGGATATGGTGATTCACACATATATCACCTAGTGACAGAGCATATTCAACTCGGCCATTCTTCTACCTTCATCTGGGTCTATCCAGTTTACACGTCTGTTGGGCTCCTGTGAGAATCCAGGATCGCTTTCACTCTTTTTCAGGTCAGTTTTTTAATGTATCGTGTACATCTGATCGCTATGTTTAAAATGTACGCCCAGACATAGAAGGACAGTCCATGAAGGTACTTTACCGTTTGCGTCAATGTTACTGAAAAAAGTTCAGTTACTTGTCACCACTTCCAGTGGCAGAGTTCATACTGAAACAGGTGCTGCATCCCAAGAACGAGGCTACATATGTTATAAGATGTACATGGAGTGGCTATTCTGACTGTCTAAATCCTATTAATCCATTCTCCAACATAAAGATTACAATGTAGAACGAATGTTTATAATTTCATTTCAACTAGTTACCACACATATTGCACTTGTTTTTCGGAGCTCTGTAACTGTAGTGCATTAAGTTAAGGTTAACATGCACTTCACTCATATACACATGGCGAGGCTGCCATATCGGCCAGCACCAGTAGGGAGTAGATGAAGTGTCTTGCCCAAGGACACAACGACAGAGACTGTCCGAGCCGTGGCTCGAACCGGCGACCTTCCAATTACAAGGCGAACTCCCAACTCTTGAGCCACGATCAAGATTTACATTAAATATTGAAAACAGCTCCATACTAAACGAAGCCCATCTTCCTTGATATCTAGTGTGAGGTTTCTACCTGGATGGAGTGAGCAAGATGGCGGCGCACGTAGTTGCAGCAGCTCAGTGTTCTGAAGCATGTGTGTGGGAATGTATGTGAATGTTTTACTGTTATATCTTATTAGTATTTTAAGTATTCTATCTATTTTATTTATTGAATTTATGTTTATTTATATTTTGATATGTAGGGATGATGCATGATCGGGGACCATTCTTAATTCGTTGTTCTCATGACATGACAATAAGTTCTGATTCTGATTCTGATTCAATCATCATGGTTTCCGCTCAGTGATTAGTAATTGAAGCCTGGAGCTGAGTGTTTACACTGTTGCCATGTTTCAATTATTGGATGCACTATATATGTCTTCTCCAGTTGTATATGGAATGAATCTGAAAAATAACCCCGTCACTATATCGGTGTTTATGCGTTTGATACTTTTGAGTGTTTTCCACACTTCTGCTGCTGCTTATGATGGATATTTCATAGAGCTTTTCTAAATACCAAAAGTATTATTTGATAATCCATTCAACAAAGAAATGTTATCATTGTACAACTCGCAAATCATTTACTTTGTAATTCATGGCCACAAAAAGCGCTGTCACTGTAGCTATGATATGGTTGACATTGCTGCAAAATTTAGAAAATTTAAACCCAAAAAAGAGATGACAGAAATGCAAAAATGGAGGACGTAAAAATCCTAATGACTGGGATGTGAGCAGAAGACCAACTGCACTGTCATTCTGTATTAGTCACAAAGGAATTTATTATATCAGCGCTGACAAGCAACTTAGGAAAATTATAAAAGTACTAAGAGGCTGTGAAGTACAGAGAAAGAGCAGCCACTGGCCCTGTGAAGGGTTCACTTCAAAGGGTGAGCCACAAAAGGATTTGTGGCTATTGTACGGATACTGAAGTTGTAAATTCTGTGAACTGTCCTTGATAACATTCTTGACTTTACATTAGCTCATCACAGCAACCTGTTTCACAGAAACCAAGAGCCGGACACTTTAGAGGTCATCCATCCTTCCAATTCAGGGTCGCAGGGAGCTGAAGCCTATCATATAGCAATGGGCAAGAGGCAGTGACTAGACAGGTCACCAGTCCATTACAGGGCTAACACAGAGAGCCAGTCATCCAAGGCCACCAATCACTAGTTAACTTAACTTGACATTTTTTGAATTGTGAGAGAAAGCCAGACTACGAGGAGAGAATACACCCAGTCAGTGGGACAACTCCACACAGAAAGGCCCCAGCTGCTGTGAGGTGATGGTGTTAACCACTGCAACCTCTGCTGCCCTCAAAGGAGATGTATTGTTTTAAAATAATGTGTATTCCACATGTCACAGAGAAATACATTATTGCAGTCAGCACATGGACAAAAACTGTTGCTGGTTCAAAGCATTAAAAAAAATGTTAATTCTGAAATACAGTATGTCTCATAGATGAGAAGATTGTTTATGATATTTAACAGACCAGTGGGTGATTATTAAAGCCTACATTCTTTATCCCCCATGAGTGTGTTAGCCCCGAAAGGTCTAAAGCCATGACTCTCTGTTAGAGACGCGTACAGCTGGAGACTGTTGAGTAGTCACTCCTCTTATACTTGTTTGAACTGTGCTTGAAATCTTCTGCCTCAGGTGCATGCATAATCAGTTCATGGTAATGTAAAGTCTATGTTGGCAAGTTTCTGTGGTCATATAAAAAATGAGCAGGCCGAGGCCCTAAGTCTTACAAAACTCACATCACAGGGTCATGGGAAGTTCAGGATGTGGAAAGTAAAATGAAGACCTGACCTAAAACATCGATAATAACTGCATATCAAAAATCTGACCCTGTCTTGAGGAAAAACAGGTTTTTAATGCAAATCATTTAAAAAAAATAGCATAATAATAGAAAGTTAACACTTGGACCACATTAAAATTTTTAAACATATTTAAATCGTTAAAGAAAGAGTGATGGCTACAAAACTGTCCTGCTCACCAGCTTTTTTAAAGTGGTAATTTGCAGAATTATGGAAATGCTTTATGAAGCTGGCAGCATTCACATTTCGTGCTCGATTGGTAGAAGGCCTTGTCATCAAGACTAGAGCAAGATGTACTGTTTATTTTACATAATATGTTGATGCATGCTCAATCAACCAGGTAAGGAACTCCCAAAAAGTTGATTCTGTTCATTTGGATGTAACATTTTCAGTAGGAGAAACGTTTCATCACTCTTTAAGTGACTTGTTCAGTCTGAAGTAGTCTTCATCAACTTTTGGGGATTTTCCATAATAAATAACAGCATTCTGTGTGATAGGATGTAAGACGTGGCAGTTGTTGTTTTTTAATGCAAGTTACAAATCAGTGTTGACTTTACAGCCACATTAAAAGCTGTGCCTTTTGCTGCAGGAAAGCTTCCAGCAGATCAAAGTCTGATCTATTATTAAATTTTCCTTAGACAAAGAGCGAGTCTGCTAATATTTATTAAGTCAAACTGAGAATACTTGACACACAAATAAATTTAGAAACTGGATATTCAGTTTTTTTATTGAAGTTGTGCTTGGATTGGCTTGTTATCAGCTGTTTTATTATGCCTTTCTGTCACTAGGACATTCATCAGCTGCTTGACTACAAACTGACTTACAATGTCCAGAGTGACATCCAAGCACATTTATAAAGTAGCCTTTATAACACTGCTTACCTCATTAAAGTTACGATCTCTATGATTCTACTGGAATTCAAGCTATGTAGGAGTAGAAAGATTTCCACTAGATGTAGGTTAGACACTTCAGACACCAAAAACAGAAATGCAGAGCTAAACAACGGCACTAAATGGCTACATTCCTTTGCCAAGGATGAAAATTCCCTTCATATGATGAGTGAACTGAGTGTGATAGTTGTGATAGTTTTCTGAGACCATCAAACAGGCTTATATTTTTTTTTCTATTTCAGTGTATTTAAATAAGAAAAAAACCAGCACCTCTTGCTTGAACATGTGCAAAAGGATTCTAGAAGTTGAAATTTAAAAAAAAAAAGAGTTCTTTATTATTTTGGAAGGTGTATATTTTCTCATGTCTACCTGATAAATATGTCATGGAATAATCTCTTTTGCCCTGGTAGCTTGATCTAATGTAATTCAATTAATCTGCAAAAGACTAAGAAACGAAATCTTTTCTGGTATGAGTAATATTTGTACACAATATAGGGTGGAGAAAGCAAATAAGTAAATAAAGTAAATAAAATAATCAAATAAATCTACTTGGTTATATTAGTCCAGTGGGATTACAATGGGTCATCAGGGAGGCTAATCATCTAGAGACAACCTGAACTGAATATTAAATGGTCAAATCAGCACAACTGTTTCCCACAATACTGAAAAAAACTGTACACATTCCAGCTTACCTAGTGGAGGAGTCATCTATTTTGTGAATTCACATTCATTATTTCAGGTTGTCATATGCATTTGAGTAGTTTTTCAAGCTTAAATCTCTGTCCTCTCCAGTATCTGTGCATTTCCTGGGACCCCATCAGGTAAAAAAAAAGACCTTTAAAACGAATCTAGTCTCTCGGTCTCATGTTGTTCTCTTTGTAATCCTACAGGCGTATTGCCAAAGGTGTTTCTGTCCTCACCCATGGGGCAATGGCTCTGCGGAGGGACCAGGGAGCCACCAGCCGAGCGCAGTACGCTGGCAACTGTCAGAGCGACGGCAACCAGACCCATCGAGTGCCAGACAGAATCAAGTAAGTGGCAGGAAGCGCGAGGGACAGAGGGTGACTTTGAAGTTTGCTGTATGTGAGAATCTAATGTGACTGGCATCAGAGTGAACAAGCAAACAGTGCAACGGCATGGAAAGGCAAATAGTTGCCAACAGTTTTAATCAAATGTCCTCATTCAAAGCAAACCCAGAGAGCTGAGTCATTCTGGCCTGAAAACAGCTGCTTTGTTTTTATAGCAACATTTTACAGATGAATAAACTCCACATAGAAAATCCATGTTTTCACTGCTGGTTTCATTCTGCATTTGTTAATGCTAAAGATTTACTGCGCAAATCAGCCACAACATTAAAAACACTGACAAGTGAAGTGAATAATATTGATCATCTCATTACAATGCAATATGCTGCTGGGAAATCTTTGGCCCTGGCATTCATACTACTTTGACACATAAGATCTGTCTAATTGTCTGTTAGAGCTCAAGGACACTCATTCCAAAGACCACTCACTGACACTGGTGCCAGCAGCCTCCCCCAGCACGACAATGTGCACTGTCACACTACCAGAGCCACTGAGAAATAGCTCAGGGAACAGCACGAAGAACCCAAGGCATTTAGACGGCGTCCAAACTACCCAGAACCCAAAACCGATCAGGACCCGCCAAAATAAGACCAATCCACAGAGGCCCCAGACCGCAGCCCACACGACCCACAGGACTTGCTGACACTGTCACAGTGCCAAAAATCACAAGACACCCCCATGGATCATTTACCCATGCCCCAAAGAGTCAAAGGCTGACCTATTAGGTCTTTTAGTTTAGTGACTGATTGGAGTGCATTGCAATCATGCTGTCAAGCAAACATTGTTTTTGCTTTGCATTGACCATTAAATTGCATAATGAAGGAACGCGCAAATAGTTGACTGATTTAGCAACTGTGCAACATCGTTCTCAGTCTTAGTCCATTAGTGCTCCTTTATTCTGTATGACTGAATTGAGGCAGTTGTTTATTTAAAAAGGGGCTGTTTGTTTCAAGACAAAACTTAAATATGTGAGAGCTTCACTAATGTAAGAAAACAATTGATAGATTTGTGGGGAGTATTTTGAGTTGTGCACTGCTGATGTTGAAACTACTGCTTGGTGATTAAAATACTGAAAACCTTTTCAGATGCTTTTAAAAGTCTGTTTATATGCAGATTAAAACCTAATATATTTTCTCCAGTGTTTAGTGGAAAGTCTTGACTCAGACTCAAGTTCGTTAAGTTCAGTCAGATGACTTCCATTTGAAATGGTTCATTACAGCAGCAGAGTATAGTTAGTTTGGTAGTTATAGAGAGTTTGGTTTATCACACGCAGATATGTTACAAATAACATTTGAGTGTGATGGTGGACGCTGATTGATGTCAGGCAGCAGATGCAGGGCAGCAGTAATACTTACATGTCCGATGGAGGAGGAGGAATGTTTTCAGCTTACACAGACTGCCATATTGATGTCTGTTTGGTATATTTTGTGAGGAGAGTGAGGTGTAGTATTGTACCCTGTGTCACACAAATGGCTGCATTTCTAGTTTGACTGTGAATATACTGACATTAGGTGCAATGGATGAGTTGACAAACTGGTTATAACCAAATTTACCATTTGCATTTAGGACAGTTTGCCCTTCACAATCAGGGAGACTTTAAATATGTGAAGCAAAGAAATAAAATAGCAGAAGTCCAACTTTTAACTACAAGCTTGTTTGACTGCTCCTGCTCTTTGGCACAATTCCCTCTGGGAACTGTGTGGTGGAGTTGGGTTTTACTCTCAGCTGTGTCAGAGCTACAGAAACCGTCTGGTAACTACTGCTACTGTATGCTTGTTAATTGAGTGCAGCTGTATTGCATTCACAAATTAACTGCTATTAACTGTAACACTTAAAGACCTTCTCCATCTGTATAGTGTTCTTTCAAGGGCACAGACCATCATTTTGACCCTTACCATCTTTTACAACGTGGAGTTCCAGATGGTTCCATCTTTGTAATGCCAAAAGAAAGTCATTTGTTCCGTCGGCTATTGGTTTTTAAACAGATTTTGAACATTTCCCCTCAAGGTTTATATACTGTTGTACACTTGGATCTAGTATTGTTTGTGGATGGATGAATGGGTGGATGGATGGTGTTGGTATGCTGTCTGCAAAGCCAAAGTCCCCAGAGTGCATTTAAATTGCATGCTAATCAAGACGAGTGAAATATATGCATGGAAAGCAGTTGGTGTAGTCATAAGTACAAAAACAATTTATTAATATTGTGTAAGTATTGAGCGAGAATACTAAATGAGTTGTGGCTGTGTCTTCATCACCAGCTGTTTCTCATATCTCGTGCCTCTGTCACAGCAAAATGTGTTGCTGGTATTAAATACTCCAAAGTTCATTTTTGGATAGTTTGTAAAAAAAAAAATTGTAATGTCGGACTGTCTGGGGATATTTTTTTTCTCAACGCTGTAAAACTGCAAAAGATGCAGTTACAAACATTTACAGGTGTTTGAGATCAAAATGATGGTAACAATGGAATTTGTGACTCTGACACTTTGAGAATGGGTTTGTTTGTGGCTACCATTTTTAAGCTTTGAATTAGCATCATGGCATCAGGCATCTTGGGTTTTGTCCCCAGTGATGACTTTAATGGGTGCATTACTAAGTCATCAATTAATACTTGTTGGCTTACTGCAGATGCACTGAGCAGAAATAGCTCAGTGAAGGCATCTTGGTAGCAATACTTATACTGTTAACTGCACAGGAAGTCATATTTGTCAGATAATGTTTTAAAAGAAACACAGAAACACTGGATAGGCTCCAGTTCAACAACTCAAAATAGCTAAGGCGAAGCCTAGCAGATGGCACCAGCATGCACCTGTCATGAAAAACAGTTAAGCTCTCAATAATGCATGGCTTAAGTCTATGTACAGGTAAATTCTGTTATTAAAAAAAGTTTTCTCAAAGAGTGAACTTTGAGAAAACTTTGAAAATGTAGACCAACATTATCTTTGTATGATGCTGTTTATTTGTCCTGTGAAGTTGGGCATTTTTTCATGGACATTTACAGGGAACAACCTTTGCACCCAGCCACTAGTGGCCACTGGAGGAATGACAGTTTTGACACTTCTGAGTTTGCAGGTACAGGTGTCAAGGGGGGTATTAACCCCACCACTTTACTCCCACATTCTGGTTTTTTTTTATATTTGTAACTGCCCATATGAGTTATCATCAATCCAGGTGGTAGCACAGAGCTTTGTAAGCCTTGTGCTCCTTGAGCAAGAAAATGAACTGACAAGTGAACAAAACAAAACAATTCTGCCACATTAACCCAGTGAAACACGAGGCAGGTTTAAGGAGAGACTCAACAATAAGTCTAAATTACAATACTTAACCACAAGAAAGAAAAAGCAGTTGTAGTTTGTACGTATATGACAGATTGATGACAATATCAGGGAAATCTTGCCTGCACAGACGAGCAGATCAACTGCAGATGGATGGTTACCACAGGTTGCCTGCCTGCACTCTTTAATGAAGTGAGCAGGTTCATTTTAAACTCGGCAAAACATTTCATGCCCTTCAGAATCTTGCTCTCCATCAGCAGCAGGGCTGTCTGTCACGCTGACGGGCGCAGAGGCTCATGGGACTCTCATCGAGTGGCAGTGATAGTCCTCGCTACAGCTGCATGAACGACACCTGTAACACATGAAGGGTTTTTCTCTCCGGGGAGATATACACCTTTCCAAAAATATCTCTGCTCTGACTGAAGTGGCACTGCGAAATAAAACGTAACCTGTTTTTAGCTGCTGTGTGGCCTTATTCACATGCAAACAACTTGGGAACACTTAATTGTGAATTAATAGTAATATATGAAAAGCCCACTGGAAATCTTGAAAGCTCAACTTGTCATTTTAGAAGTTAGGGCTGATGAAATCCAATGCAATTCAATACAGTTTAGCTCACATGCAGTTAAACCTACTTTATGTACCAAGCTAAACAAGCGATATTTGAGAAGGGGCAAAAAATCTATGTGTAAATCTTTACTGATGGTTAATAAACTGTGCTGTCAGAGATGAGCAGTGCCCACAGATTTACAAATTAAATTTCTTTGCCAGTCGTAAACGGAAAGATTGGTTTGGGAGAAAGAAAAAGAATCCAAATAAATATGTTACACAGTGAAAGCTGTAAAATGACCCTAGCAAAGCACAGTAAGACATCAAATAGACTGTTTGACTATTTAATCTAGATTAAATTCATGTGGTTACAGTTAAAATCCTCCACTTCCTATTTGGAAAAAAATAAACAACTAAATAAATAAATAAAAGCTGTTTGCTCAGTTTGCAGTTACTTCCCATTATTGCCTCTGTGCACAAAACAGTTGGCAAAGAAAAAATGCTCATGATCACCTCCTCAAACCAAACTACGAGGCTCTTCTGAGCAAAGAGCATAAAGTATTTAAATAAATAAAAGTCCAATCATGCTTCTACAGTGAGGATGACGACTGTACTCGGCCTTCAAGGTTATCAAATTCAAAAGAAACCTCCATTAAGACCAGCTTTATTTAATTCTTCACTTTGAATCTTCTTCAGACTAAAACAACTCCAAACATAAATATGTTCTTCACAACACCATTAATGCTACCACTACTATACAGTCATGCTCTGTGCCAGAGAAACAAATAATAAAGCTACATGCTTTTTAAACTACAAGACATGGTGTGGCAGTTGATACCTGTTTTTACTGGTGTAATATTTCCACTATTGAATTTGTCAACCTTGTCACAAACAGCGCAAAAACACTGATTGAGGAGGATTTTTCAAAACCCCCAGATGACATTCAGTAGGGTGGAAGCAGTGAATAGCCTAAAAGCTGATGAGTGGAAAATGTTTGACCTTGAAATGATATGAATTTGTTTTATATTCAGTTTTTTATCTGTGTTTCGATTCAGAGCCATTATAGGAATAAATGCTCCTTCATGACTGATCATGCAATCTGTTGTGAAGCACTTTCTGAAAATG